CAGGTCGGCCGACGATGGAAACCCTGGGCGGCAGATTCGAGGAGGGCGATCGAGGGCGAAGACCAAAAGGGAGGAACGAGGGAGGAAGCGGAGAGCCAACCGAGCGCCCCAAATTGCCGGACGGCGCTGCGCAGCCGGCGGAGCTCCTGGGTCCACGACTGCAGCGATACAAGGGCCGCCCGCATCCTAGAAGCGGCCCCACACGCCCACATTGATTGAAACTCGGGCCCCCCGAACTCTCTCTAAGGCCGAAAAATCCCTCCCATGACAAAATGGAGCTTGGAGACCTCCAGAGGGATGCGAAGAGGTGCCGCTCTTGGATTGCCATGGTTCTGTATATCGGGAAGAGCTGAGCATTGTACGAAAGCGCTGGGGGACAGAGTGTGGTAGTAAAACAGATTCGCGGCGCCGTCTGCGGTCGAGCGACTCGCGGAGCGGACGCGAGCGCGCAGCTTGGACAAAGGTGCTTCCTATTGAAGCTCGACCGAAGCAGACGGCCCAAGCTCCACTCCGAGATAGGTGAGCCTGGACTGGATCCAGAAACGCCCACCCACCCCGAATCAACCCGAGACAGAAACTGCCGAGCAGCCTCCGCAAGAGGGTCGCAGAGCTCACCTGTCAGAGGGACAACCCTGGCATTTACTACACTTTAAAGTCAAGTGAGCAAAAACGCTCGCGAGCCGAAATATACGAGCCGTATGGACAGAACCCCGAAAGTGCAGAAGCACCGCCCCAACGTCGTCAGCGCAAACCCTCGGAAATCCAAGCCTACGGCTCATGACGTTCATGTCCCTATCCCAGAAAAAGGGATTCGAAGCGACGACAAAGAAGGAGCCACTCAAAGAACATCCCTGGAGCACCCCTGCAGTCATGCAGTAGAGCGGAAGTAACGGCCCTCCGTCACAAAATCAGCACAAGCTCAGGACGTAGATGAGCAAGGAGGAGGAGGAGAAGAAGGAGGAGGAGGCGGAGGAGGAGGAGGAGGAGGAGGAAGAGAAGGAGAAGGACCTCCCCATCCTCCCTTCTCCCCCGTCCTACCTGTGGTGGTGGTGGAGAATTGGCCCATCAGCTTCGGCTCGGAAGACGGCAGAAGGCACGGCGCAGCATGCCCGCAGTGGCCAGCGGGCCCAAGCCACTCTCGGGGAGACTTCCTCGACGGGCCCCCCTCTCAGACCAGATCCGCTCCAAAGGAAGGATTCCTCCTCCTCCTCCTCCTCCTCCTCCTCCCCCTCCTCCTCCTCCTCCTCCTCCCCTCCTCCTCCTCCTCCTCCTCTCCTCCTCCTCCTCCTCCTCCTCCCCTCCTCCTCCCCCTCCTCCTCCTCCTCCCTCCTCCTCCTCCTCCTCCTCCTCCTCCTCCCTCGTCCTCGTCCTCGTCCTCCTCGTCCTCCTCCTCCTCCTCCTCCTCCTCCTCCTCCTCCTCCTCCTCCCTCCTCCTCCTCCTCCTCCCCCTCCTCCTCCTGCCTCCCCCTCTCCTTCTCTTCCTCCTCCTCCACCTCCTCCTCCTCCTCCTCCTCCTCCTCCTCCTCCTCCTCTTCCTCCCTCCGCTGCCTGATGAACCTTGAGAAACGCATGGGTGCTGTGTTTTCCTGGGTGGCCCGAGCGGTCCCAGAGCTCTTTGTGAGAACTCCTCGGAAGCCCTTTCGAAACGGTTTTGAAGGTGTCTTGGACCTCTTGGGGGCCTCTGCGGGCCGGATCTGTGCATCTCTGGCGCCTCGTGGACTTCTGGTGGGCTCCTTGGGGGCCTGCTGACGGTCTCGGGGGCCCTCTTGGGGCGGAGGGCGCGCCTGGGCTGGCTGGGGCGGGTTCGACCTTTTACTCTGGCACGCGGCGCTCCAAGCATTGTTGTATACACTAACGCTGTCCGAGATGGCACGTCCGTTAGGCCAGGGCAGAGATGCTGCCGGGAGGCTTTCCTAATGTTCATGGGCTCGCCTCTGCTGTTGATGCCTGCCTGCATCTGCAGGAGGCTGCTGCCTGTGGCATGTTGTTGCTGGTGCGCCTTACTTTTTCTGTGTGCTGCCCCTGCTTGTGCCTGCAGAATGCTGCTTCTCGGCGCCCGTGCTAGCTAACACGAACTGCAGCTCGTTAGTGGACCGAGGAGCGAGGAGCAGGGAGTGAGGAGTCGGGGTCGGAGGAGGTGAGGGGAATCGAGGAGCGATCAGCGAGAGATAGAGAAGGGGAGAAACGAGTCCCACAGCTTTGTGGCTCATGGGGCTCTCTTCGGTGTCCTGCGCGGTCCCACAGCTCTCGACGGGGCATTTCCTCTCGGAAGCCTCTTGGAAACGGTTATGGGTTATGGGGGTGTGTTGGAACCCTCGAGGGCGTTCGCACTTTTTTTATTACTCGATCTGAGCTTACCAGTCGCGCCAGCAGACTGGGGGGAAAAAGGTCCTGACCGGTCGCCAAAAGCAGCCAAGATGTGGCCTATATAAAAGGGGGGGAAGGGGAAGGGGGCCCAGAGGCCCACGCCGCGATCGGCGAAACCATACGTGAAACGAAGACATCTGCCTGCCTCCTGGGGGCCTCGCTGGGCCTGCTCTGGGCAAGCGCCGGGGCCTCGTGGGGCCTCCACGGGGGCCCCGCCGGCGCCCCCGGGGTGCCGCCTCTCGAGCGGAGGGCGCGGGCTGTGAGCTCGACGTCTCGGGGCCCCCTCGGGGCCATCTTTGGGCCTCGCTGGGCCTCGTGGGGCTTCCCACGGGGGCCCCGCCGGCGCCTCCGGGGTGTCATCTCTCGAGCGGAGGGCGCGAGCTGTGGGCTCGGCGTCCCCGCCCTCGGGGCCCCCTCGGTCGGGGCCCTCCTGGGGGAAGCCACCGGGCCGCCCTCGGGCCCTCTCCTGGGCTGTCTCTGGGGCCCCTCGTTGGGGCCTCTGGAGCCGTCTTGGTGCGATGCTGGGGGCCTCCCGGGGGAGGAGGAGGAGGAGGAGGAGGAGGAGGAGGAGGAGGAGGAGGAGGAGGAGGAGGAGGAGGAGGAGGAGGAGGAGGAGGAGGAGGAGGAGGAGATGGATCGTCGGAGCTCCGAAGGGGCGAGAACTTCCAAATCTGCCAAACACCTCCAGCGATTCCGATTCCATGATATTGGCCTCTGGAGCCGTCCTGGTGCGATGCTGGGGGCCTACCCGGCCATCTCATGGATCGTCGGAGGTCCGAAGGGGCGAGAACTTCCAGATCTGCCAGAAACACCTCCAGCGATTCCGAGTCCATGACATTGGCCTCTCGGGACCTGCTGCGCGGGCCTCTAAGGGCCCTCTGGGGCCGTTCTGTGGCCCCGTTGGGCCTTCTGCCGTCTGGGACCGTCTTGGGGCCCTCTCGGGACGTCTTGGAGCGCCCCGGGCTCTCCTGGTACACAGGATGCGCAGCATCGCACGTCAAAGAAATGACGTTGGGCTCCACCTTCGAATCCCACATCTGGCCATCGCTCGGACGTCCATTCCCTGTGTTTTTGTTCGGTTTCGTGCGTGGTTTTTTCGCCAAATGATCACATATGCTCCTCGATGGTCCTCGCCGAAGGAAAAATGCACACGTCCGAGCGATGCCAAGACATCGCATTGAGCACCCACATTGCGTGTTGCCACTGCCCGCCGCGTCTGCCTGCGCTGGCAGTCGCACTCGTAGCGGCCTGGGGAGAGCTGCACACACAATCGAATTCCTTCGCGGAGCAACTGCAAAGCTGCGCGCCACTGTTCTGTCAGACCGCTCGCCATCGCTCGGACGTCCATTCCCTGTGTTTTTTCGGTTCCGTGCGTGGTTCCTTCGCCAAATGATCAAGGATGCTCCTCGATGGTTCTCGCCGAGAAAAAAGCACACGTCCGAGCGATGCCAGGACCGAACTTCTGGACTGACACATCGAGAGACACTGCGCCTTCGCGAGGACCTCGACCGATGTTAAGCATCTAACATCTGAGACTATGCAACCAAAAAAGATGGCACCACGGCGGAGTGAGCCAACCAACCTTGAATTGAACCGACACGACTTGAGTAAAAACCGGTTCAGTCAAATGGGAGAGGAGGAGGGGACATCATCGATGGTCTAGCGCCAATGTAAGAAGAGCTCCGCGCGGAGCTCTAACAGTTTGTCCTTTTCCAGCAGGTAGTGCTATCACTGGAGGCTTGAGAGTATCTTCAGAGTTGGAGATGCCGCGGCCGCCAAACCCTCAAACCCTAAGAGGCCCGCTGCTGCCTGGGGATCCCAGGACTCGCTGTCGGGTGGGAATCGCTCGACACAAATCAAATATCTAGGGGGGACGTTGTATCGGCACCGCTTCTCCCTGGAACTCTCCCAAGGTGCAGTCTGACCAGAAGCTCGAAGAGAACTCAGCCGTGGCGACGAGGTTAATCCATGAATAGCAGCGCACTGGCGAGATGGCGATGACGATGACAATAACCATCCTCGTCATCACCACCATCCTCCTACTCATCATCAAAACCCATCGTTACCATCGTTACCATCGTCACCATCACCATCACCAACACCATCACCAACACCACCACTATCATCATCATCATCATCATCATCATCATCATCATCATCATCAGCATCATCATCATCACCATGGTCATCGTCATCATCAGCAACACCATCATCCACATCATGATCACCCCCCGCGATCATCATCGTCATCATAATCACCATCACCATCACCATCATCATAAGCATCAGCATCAGCATCATCATCATCGTCATCATCGTTATAATCCTCATCCTCATCATCACCATCATCATCGCCATCGTCATCGCCGTCGTCATCGTCATCGCCGTTGTCATCATCAGCACAAATCGGCATCAGCATCAGCATCAGCATCACCAGCATCCTCATCCTCATCCTAATCATCATCCTCATCCTCATCCTCATCCTCATCATCCTCATCCTCATCCTCATCCTCATCCTCATAGTCATCATCACCATCGTCATCATCATCGTCATCGTCGTCGCAAACGTCATCGTCGTCGTCATCATCATCGTCATCGTCATCCTCATCGATTCCTACTCTGAACTGATGCATTATGCTGCAACTTCGAACAACACCGCGCGAGTGCGGGCTTCTCTGGCGAGCCGCGGCGTCGCCGCATCGCCGTGTGCGCTTCTGGCACGCCGCGGGCGGGGCGGGAAGCGGGCCGCACTCGGCCCGCTGGGGAGGGAGGAGTGGGAGGGAGGGGCGGCGAGGGGAGGACGATAAGGAGGAGGAGGAGGAGGAGCAGGAGAAGGAGGAGGAGGAGCAGGAGAAGGAGGAGGAGGAGCAGGAGGATGAGAGGAGGAGGAGGAGGAGGAGGAGGAGGAGGAGGAGGAGGAGGAGGAGGAGGAGAAGGGGGAGAGGACTGAGGCAGAGGAAGATGGGGCAGGATGGGGAGGGGAGAGGAGGATATGATAGAAGGGGCGGGGGCAGAGCATGAGGGGCATGAGGAGGAGGACGCACGATGGGCAGGCAGGAGAATAGGAGAGCGCTGCGCTCATTGGCAACAGCTCGGACACGTGCTGGTCAGGCATCACGCGTGCAGCTTGCTGGAGGGAGCGGAGCAAGCGGAGAACGACGACGACGACGACGACGACGACGACGACGACGACGACGACGACGACGACGACGACGACGACGACGACGACGACGACGACGACGAGAGAGAGGGAAGCAGGAGGAAGACCTCCTGCTGGGCGGAAGCCGGCCCGATGCCCTCGGGGCAGCCCGAGGAGAGCCGCCCGGAGGCCCGCCCGGAGGCGAGGGGCCGGCGCATACCGCGCCGCCCCGCGGCGTCGGCCGCCTTCCCCCCCCCCCCACGGGCGGCGCCAACTCCCGGGAGGCCTCCGTGGGAACGTTGGGCGCCCGAGTTATCCGGGGTAACTCGGGTCCGGGGCAACGCGGGTTCGGAATCCCGAAAAGCGAACCCGAGTTAGCCCTGACCCGAGTTACCCCTGATGATTCGGGGCTCTGGGAACGAGCGATGAAACCGAAGAGCTCTCAAGCTGTGGTGGCGCAGTTCCCCCGGCCCTTCGGGCTGAGGAGGTCTAGCGAGTGCTTTCTCTCCTCTTCCAGAAGCCCTCTTCCCTTCGGGGAGGGGTGCCCCCCCCCTCCCCCCAGGTGTTTTTTTCGGGGGGGGGCGGGCAGCGGAGTGTCCTGGCGTCCAAGATGGCTACAAGAGGGCCTCCTCTGCTCCAAGATGGCCTCCAAGGCGGCTCAAGGTAGACGGCAATGAAACCTCAGAGCTCTCGAGCTGTGATTGCGCAGTGTTTTGTTCCCCTGCCTGGCCCTAGATGAGGTCGGATGGCTTCTAGGTTCGAGCCTCGGCGGCTACGGATGGCGCAACAGCCACGCATGGGTGCACGCCTGCAGCAACTCATGCGGCAATGTGCCAGACCAGGGCGCTACATGAAGCCGAACTGGCCCGGATTAGGCCCAGGATGAAGCCCGACTGTAAAGGGGCCCCAGGACACACAAATAAATACACACAAATAAAAAGACTCCCCATATTTCCCAACCATTCTGTGGTGTTGGGTCCTCCTTCCCCTCCCACACCCATTCTCCCATTCTGGCACGCCCCTCACACGTTTCGTGGCCCCATAGGGAGCTCCACCGAAGGCCCCAGTGGCTGCGCCCGCATGCGGTTCCACCCCCCATTCTGGCACACCCCTCACACGTTTCGTGGCCCCATAGGGAGCTCCACCGAAGGCCCCAGTGGCTGCGCCCGCATGCGGTTCCACCCCCCATTCTGGCACACCCCTCACACGTTTCGTGGCCCCATAGGGAGCTCCACCGAAGGCCCCAGTGGCTGCGCCCGCATGCGGTTCCACCCCCCATTCTGGCACACCCCTCACACGTTTCGTGGCCCCATAGGGAGCTCCACCGAAGGCCCCAGTGGCTGCGCCCGCATGCGGTTCCACCCCCCATTCTGGCACACCCCTCACACGTTTCGTGGCCCCATAGGGAGCTCCACCGAAGGCCCCAGTGGCTGCGCCCGCATGCGGTTCCACCCCCCATTCTGGCACACCCCTCACGTTTCGTGGCCCCATAGGGAGCTCCACCGAAGGCCCCAGTGGCTGCGCCCGCATGCGGTTCCACCCCCCATTCTGGCACACCCCTCACACGTTTCGTGGCCCCATAGGGAGCTCCACCGAAGGCCCCAGTGGCTGCGCCCGCATGCGGTTCCACCCCCCATTCTGGCACACCCCTCACACGTTTCGTGGCCCCATAGGGAGCTCCACCGAAGGCCCCAGTGGCTGCGCCCGCATGCGGTTCCACCCCCCATTCTGGCACACCCCTCACACGTTTCGTGGCCCCATAGGGAGCTCCACCGAAGGCCCCATGGCTGCGCCCGCATGCGGTTCCACCCCCCATTCTGGCACACCCCTCACACGTTTCGTGGCCCCATAGGGAGCTCCACCGAAGGCCCCAGTGGCTGCGCCCGCATGGCGGTTCCACCCCCCAGCTCTGGCACACCCCTCACACGTTTCGTGGCCCCATAGGGAGCTCCACCGAAGGCCCCAATGGCTGCGCCCGCATGCGGTTCCACCCCCCATTCTGGCACACCCCTCACACGTTCGTGGCCCCATAGGGAGCTCCACCGAAGGCCCCAGTGGCTGCGCCCGCATGCGGTTCCACCCCCATTCTGGCACACCCCTCCACGCTTCGTGGGTCCATCCAGTGGTTGCGCTCGCATGCGGTTCCACCCCAATTTCGGCACACCCCTCACACGCTTCGTGGGTGGCTCCATGGGGAGCTCCACCGAAGCCCCAGTGGCTGCGCTCGCATGTGGTCCCCCCCCATTTCGGCACACCCCTCACACGGTTCGTGGCCCCATAGAGAGCTCCACCGAAGGCCCCAGTGGCTGCGCTCGCATGCGGTTCCACCCCCTTTTTCGGCACGCCCTTCACACGTCTCGTGGCCCCATAGGGAGCTCCACCGAACGCCGCAGTGGCTGCGCTCGCATGCGGTTCCACCCCCCATTTCGGCACACCCCTCACACGTTTCGTGGCTCCATAGGGAGCTCCACCGAAGGCCCCAGTGGCTGCGCTGGCATGCGGTTCCACACCCCATTCTGGCACACCCCTCGCACGTTTCGTGGCCCCATAGGGGGCTCCACCAAAGGTCCCAGTGGCACTGCCCGCTTGCGTCCGCCACCACCCAGCACAGCCCTTGTTCCCTGCGCTTCACCCACCCAGAACAGCGCTTCGTAGCCCTATAGGGAGCTCCACCAAAGGTCCCAGCGGCACCGCCCGCATGCGTCCGCCACCACCCTGCGCAGCCCTTGCTCCCTGCCTGCGTTTCACCCACCCAGTACAGCGTTTCGTGGCCCCATAGGGAGCTCCACCGAAGGTCCCAGTGGCACCGCTCGCATGCGTCCGCCACCACGCAGCACAGCCCTTGCTGACCGCGTCTCACCCACCCAGTACAGCGCTTCGTGGCCCCATAGGGAGCTCCCCCGAAGGTCCCAGTGGCACCGCCCGCATGCGTCCGCCACCACCAAGCACAATTGCGGCATTCACAACTGCATATGGTTGAGTCCTTCGCCAGGCTAATTTCATATTTTTGGGTTTTTTTTTGTCCTCCCCCTCACTTCCCATATTTTCCTATATTTTCTGGGGAATCGACGATTAATTGTGTCTGTGTGTTTTCCCCTCCTGAGACTGGGCGGGGTAAAAGGGTACTTGGCGGGACCCTGCTTGATCGGGCCTGCTATCGACCACGGATGTGCCAGCGCCAGAGCTGACTTTGACCTCACAGGAGTTGCTTCTTCCAGAACAGGCCAGCCGCCCGCCCAGCTCTGCCCACTTGCCCGCCGGGCTCACAGGCACGTCTCAGGGACGAGGAAAGAGAGCGATGTGCATACAACGAGCCTGGCCAGGACCCTGCTGAGCCCAGGATCGGTGCATACGCCCTCCTGGCTTGGCCAGGGAGGCATATGCACCGATCCTGATCGGGGAGACGTGCGACGTGGGTTCGGGGGACTCGGGGTGGCCTGACGGGGCCATCGTGAATATAACGAGACCCAGTCTGAAACTTGACGCGAACTCCCGCTGCAAACGTCCCACGAACACTTGACCGTCAAACTCCAGGACTCGCTCGTCAAAAAGAATCGGCAAACCCAAGCTCCAGCGCACTCGAGTCTTACGTTTCCCCGACCTGAGCCCAGGATGGGCCTGGACAGGATCGGTGTGTGAGTGGTGTGCGTGTGGGTGCATAGCTCTCTTCGCCCGACTAGGCGGTGGCGGCATGGTGTGGCTGGGGGTCACTGCCTCGCAAGGTGGTCAACGCAGAGGAGGCCACACAGCACGAGGCCCACGTCGCTCCGGGGGCCAACTCGGACCCGGTACCGCTGGCGGCCGCCGTCGTGGCTGGCCCTGTAGAGCTCGGTGTTGGCCACCGCGCTGCGGACCTCGAGGCCCGCGGCGCTGGTCTTGACGTAAGAGGAAGAAAGAGACGGCACACGCATGGACAGTCGGAGCTCTCCGCGGGGATCTCTCGGATCGGCACTGGGCCCTGGCGCGCTCCGCACTCAGCGCAGATGCAAGGAATCCGCGCGGAGCTCCGGACGCTTATGGATGTGCTCTTCTTGCTTCCTCGGATGTCGGTGACGTCCACCGCGTGGTCGCCGAACGAGCCCGCAAACTCCCAGCGAGCACCCGTCTTCGTGGTGAGCAGGAAGCGCCGGTCGCAAGCGGCAGTCTGCCGGCGGGCCTGGGCGAGGAAGGCATAGCTGTCCCCCGCCGCGGTGAGCAGTCGAAACTCACCGTCGCCCGCCACGCACCTCTGCACGGTTGGGGTGACCGGCTCGGGGAGGGGGGAACATCGACCTGGCATCGGCGATGCATCGCCGACACAACGGCGATGGGGCCCTCGATAGCGAATCCGCACGCTCCTGGGCGGGGTGGTCCATCGGGCCTCTGTTCGCGATAGAGTGGCGATTGTGTTTTGATGATGCCCCCCTGAGCCCATCCTCCCTAATGATGTTGCCCTCTGGCTTTCGGGTCGTAACTCGTCTCCCCGGCGGCCGTTCGGGACTATCAGGGCACCTTCGAGCGTTCTCGGCGAGACGTAGCTGCTGGAGATCATCCCGAGGTTGGAAAACTGCCCACAAACGAAAGCTTGAAAAAAACAGCATCTTCTCTGCCCCAACATAACCAACTCTTTATCAATGAAAAACGGCCGTGACGGGCCTCTCCCCCCCTCCGTTCACGTCGCGATTCGCGCCGCCGCCGTCTGGGAATGAGCACATCTGGAATCTTCCCAGACGGCGCGGGGACGAATCGTGACTCGACTGGCCCCCGCCCTCACGCCTGGTAACGCCAGGGGATTAAAGAACGATGGTCAGACAAACCCAAGATGATCCCCCTCAAACTAAAGTAGGGTCCGAGCAAATTGAGGCGGAGGATCGCCACGCCTTGCCGATGCATCGGCGATACATAGGCGATGCACCAGCGACGTCGGCGATGCATCGGAGACGCCAGCGTAGAGAACATCGGGCTCCACATCGAGCCGCGTCGCCGATGCATCGACAATGCGGCGGAATCCTCCGACCCGATCTGCTCCGACCACATCTGGGATGGTTGCGTGATAACCGACCCCTAACCAAGACACAATGACATGATTGCCCATGTTGGACATGAGTTGACAACTCTCTGTCACTACATCGCCTGCATCGCAGAGCGGCGGGTGGGAGGGAGGGCTGGGAAAGGGAATGCCGCTCCAGGACCAAACTCTTGTCCCGATTCGTGGCCGCCGCGACCGCCGCGGCGGCCCCCAAACCGACCCCGAGGCCTCTGGCTCGAGGCTGGACATCACAGAACGAGGGGAGGCCCAGACTGACGCTTACCCCCAGCACCTCGCCACCTCTCTGTCGCCCTCGAGGAGCACGAAGCCCCCGGCGCCCCGCCCGCCGGCGCCCGCCGGCTGCGCGGGGCGCACCTCCAGCACGCCCTGGCCTTCGGGGCTGGTGAAGGTCGGGCGGGTGGTTCCCTAACCTTCCCGGGGGGGCCGAACAAAAAACAGCACCAGGACCTCGACCTCTGGATCCCTGTCGAGGTTTTGTTGGGGGGCAGTCCACTCAGGCCCGAAGTCTGGAGGGTTCTCTTGTGCAGCGCCCTGGAGGGTCAGGGCCAGGGGGCTGACCTGCATGGGGGGGAAGAAGGACAGGGCCCCGAAAGGGCCCCTCGGGGCTCCTTTTGCAGCCCGCAGGAGCCAAGACAGGGGCCCCAAAAAGGCGCCTTTCTATGGGGCCTTTTCCTCGCCCCCCCCCCCCCTGAGATCCGCCGTTGCAGAAACAATTGCAACCTCGCAGAAAATCGCGACTGGAGCCCTGGACCCCATCTTTCGGCGTCACTTTTCGAGCCGGAGCGATCTGTGAGGGTCCTGGGGCCCGGCATGGAGCGAAAACGCCCGGTGCGAAACAATTGCAACGTTTCTGTTGTTATCAACGCTTGCGGGCCACATCCCAGCAACAATTTCGAGCACCCAGGAAAAGGATCCAAATGGTGTCGAACGAGTATCGCCTCCCAGGGACCCCGCACGTGGAAAACCTTCGAGTTTCGGTGCTTACTTCCTTGGTGCTCGGAATTATCAAGGCCAAAGTTGGTTGGAACATCGCAAGGCATCGCCAGGATCTCAGGGCCCCTGCCGCCCCCCCTCCCCCCAGTGTACCACCCGCCCGAGATGGCGAAGGGCACGCCCGCCGCCGCCACCGGCACCTCTCGGGAGCGGCCAAGAGGGGGGTGTCCAAGAGGGGGGGGTGCAAATCATGACCGGCGGCATGTGCGCGGCCCAGCGGGGGGGCCTGGGACGTAATGAAATAAGAAGAGGCGCCATGAAATCTGGGGAAAAATCATGGCCCGCGCCATGAAATCCACCCCCCCCTAGTCATCACCCCCCTCTTTCCCGCCACCGGCACCTCCAGCTCGCACTCGAGGCCCTCGGGGACGACGAGGCCGGGGCAGAAGTCCTCGCCGCCGTGCCCCTCGGGCGCCGCGGCGCCGCAGGGGCGGCCCGCCTCGCCGCCCGTGGGCTGGGAGGACACCGTCGTCGTCGTCGTCGTCGTCGTCGTCGTCGTCGTCGTCGTCGTCGTCGTCGTCGTCGTCGTCGTCGTCGGCGTCGTCGGCGTCGTCGTCGTCGTCGTGCTTTTTTTTCCCCCACGACGATCGAGGGCTGACCACATAGAGTCAGCGATCGTCATACAGGAGCCGTCTGGCCCGCGACTTCTCCGCGCCCCTCTTGACCCCGCGTGAAAGCAATGTCGATTATCCATCGCCATCCTGCAGCTTGCCCATCCTTGGGCAAGCTGCAGGATGGCGATGGATCATCGAAGGAAGCGGGGGGGACGATTCGCAGCATAGCTTCCGAATCCTCGGCCTCCGCTTCGCTTCGGCTCCGCCCGGCCCGTCGACCGTCCGGGCGCGCGCCCGGCGACGGCGGGGGGGAACGATCGAAAAGCAACCTCCCAGCCGGGGGCCCGTTCTCCTCATCGGGCGCCCTGGGAACACGACCCCCGGCAAATTCTTCATCAGCATCCTGCATTGTATGGCCAGTTCTCTGTCGCTTGTAATGATGAACCACTGTTGCATGGCACTCCTTGGCAAACTCCCTGTCCCGATGTGACCGCCGCGATCGTCGCGGCGACATCCCAAACCGACCCCGAGGTTTGGTTCACGTATCGAGCCCTCATGGCATGAAATAGCCTGGTGCTGGGGGAGAAACGGGTCCTGTTGGCGGCGCGCACACGGGGGTAGGGGGAGGGGGGAAAAGCTTCATAGAAAGAGGCTGCTCCATATTAGAAGGGGCCAGCCTTGTCCAGATCTGTAAGGCCTTCGCCTTCTAAGAAGCAGCCTCCTTCTAAGATGCCTTCCCCCCCTCCCCTCCCCCCGTGCGCGCCGCCAATCCTATACGGGCCCCAGTCCCCGAGGAGGGAATGCCGCCGACCGTCCTGGAGAGCCCCCGTCGGGGGAGGGCTGGACTCTCCTCGAGCGTCTGGTCAGAGCGCACCCCTGGAGGGAGCAAACGGCATCGCCACCCTGTCTTCTCCCCCGGCCCAGGGCCTTCCCCCAGGACCACCTCTGCATCCTGGGTCGTATTTGTCTCCAGCGTGCTTCGCCGAATGGGTTCTTGCCTCGCTTGTGGAGGAGCCGGTGGGTGCGGCGGCGATTGTCCGAGATTTAGTTCGGCGCTGCTTGGTTCCTTGACCTTGGGTTCCTCTTGACGTTGCTCGGGGCTCCGCGGGGTTCCTCGCTTTGGTTCTTCAGGTCTCTCACTTGGGTTCCTCGGTTGTGCTTCTCGGGGTTCCTCGGGTTCCTCGCTTGGGTGCCTAAGCAATGCCGAGCAATGTCAAGTGACGCGAGGCAATGCCAAGTAGTGTCAAGTACTGCCAAGCATTACTTTTAACTGCTTGGAGATCCTTTGGACAAAAAGAAATCCCTAATTCCTAATTGGGACTGCGCCGAGTTCGTTGACGGTCCCGGGGAGGAGCCCGAAAACAGCCGAAACGCTGACAGTCCTCGTGCGAACTGAATAAGGGGCGAAGGGGCTTTTCTGGCCACAGCGAGACTTGGCCACGGATACAGCGCGGGCGCGGCCATAAGAAAAACCCTCGCAAGAAACCCAGACCTGAAACCCCGCGCGCGAGGTGCACCTGAGGGGGAACCTGGAGCACCCTGAACGTAGCAACTTCTTTGACGTCCGCGGGAAAACACCGCGCAGCGCGCGGAGCGAAGAAACCCAGGGTACCATGACGAAGAACGTATGGTCCCCCGACGCGCGCCCCCACTGCAGGCCGCCCCACCAAGGTCTACGGACTGGCCTGGGAACTGGGGCGCCCCTCCTGAGCCCAGTGTGCTCTGTACTTTAGCGCCTTGGCTGGCGGACCGGGTTCCCTCAGGGTGAGGTCGGGCATGTCCTCTTACGGGCGGATCTCGGAAGAAACATAAACGTTAACCAACAGACATTCAGACACAGTCAAAAGCGCCAGAGAAATCGTCACCAGACTGTTGCACTATTCTTGAATTCTCCTCCGGTAATTAGAGGGACATGCCCGACTGAACCTCAGGGCCCTTTTGCTTCCTGGCGACGCCCGCCGGCCACGGGGGCTCTTAAGGCGGGGGGGCGGTGAGCCCGAACACTGTCGAGCACCCCGTCGGACCCGCTTCCCACAGGATCACTTCGCTAGTGGCGGCGAGCGAGGGGGGGGAAGTGAGAAGGAGAAGACCTTCTCAGAAGGCGGCGGGGCTTCTCAGAAGCCCTCGCACCCTCTGAGAGGTTTCCCGTGTCTTCGGGAAGGCTGAGAAACCTTCTCAGGAGGCCGGGGGACTTCTAAGCCTTCTGAGAAGCCCCGCCCCTCCTCACTTCCCCCCTCGCTCGCCGCCGACCCGAAGGAAAATTTCTGATTCTGGGTTTTGACCTTTGGCCGAAGGGTGGGGGGGAAGAGGGGCGGGGGTCTGGGCCTGGACCGGTGCTCAGTCGATCTGCTCCTGCCAGTCGCGCAGGCAGACTGGGGGGGAGGGGCCCTGACCAGTCGCCGCCGGAAGCAACCGCCCAAAGCAGCCGAGATCTGGTCTTTTTTGGGGGGCTAGGCTAGGCGGGGGCGGGGGCCCGCGCCGATCGGCGAAGCCAGTACACGAAACAGCGCCGACGAACCTCCGCCGATCTGACTTGTCTGTCCATCCGCGGCCCCGCAGGAGGTCCCGACCGCCTCCAGGGGGCTACAGTCGGGGCGTTGACCTAAGGAACCCTAAATAAGGAACGAGGCCCCTTTTTCCCATCAGTTGAACTTCGATTTCCTGTCGAAAACAGAAGGGAAACCTGAGGCAAGCTGTGAAACACTTAAGGAACGCGGAGCCCCTCCCCAACCAAAAGGGTTCCTTCTTCTGGGCCCCGACTGTAGTTTGTTTTTGTTGCGGCTCCAGGCTTCAGGGCCCCGACGCCCGAGAACTACCGGGGAAGAGCGCAGAGACTCAACAAACCCGAATCGTCGGAGATCTGCGTCTGGAGTCTCGGCAAGTGCTCATGGGTTTCTTTCCCAGGTTTCAGGGCCCCAGGTTCCAGTTGCGGCTACAGGTTTCAGGGCCCCGACGCCCGATAACTGCCGGGCCCCAGAAGCCAGGATCGGGGAGGAGCGCACAGGACTCAACAAACCGTATCGTCGGAGAGCTGCGTCTGGAGTCTCGGAGAGTGCTCAGGGTTTCCTTCACCCTCGACCTGCACCTTCCGCGCCTTCCGCGCGGCAGGTGCCGCGCTGCCTGCCGCGGCCGCCGCTGCGGCCGCAGCGGCGGCCACCGCCGAGGCCACGGCGGCGATCGCGGCGGCCGCCGCGGCCGCGTCGCGGCGGCACCTACTGCGCGGAAGGTGCGGAGAGTGCTGGTCGAGGGTCATTAGACAAGCGCGTTCCACTACCCGCAGAGTACCTCCTCGCAAATGGCCTGGACCCGCCGCGGTGGCTGCACGATCCACCACCTCGACGCGAGCACGTGCTCTCTTCGGACGTTTGCGAGCAAGCACTGTGCGAGCAGCCAGTGGAACGCGCTCCGCGAGTCGTGGCGAAGCCCGCGGCCTGCCCGTCTTCGGCGGCCACCGGCACCACCTCCTTCAGCTTGTCGACCTGCGCCGCTGGCCGCCGCCCGCTCCTCGTGCGCCCGAGCAGCGCGGGCGCGGGGTGCACTGGCGGACCCTGCGGGCCCGCGGGGCTCGGCGGCCGCACCTCCGGGGCCGTCCAAGGGGGGGGGGCGTCCAAGAGGGGGGGGCCGCAAATCATCGCCACCGGCATGTGCGCGGCCCGGGGGGGGCCGGGGACGCATTGAGACAAGAACGGGCGCCATGAACTCTGGGCACACATCATGGCCCCCGCCATGCTATCCCCCCCTAATCGAGGCCGGTCCACAGGAAACGTGCCACAAGAAGCCCAGGACGTCCATGGATTCTGGATGTGGGGACGTCACGCTCTTCCACGGCCAAGCCATCGAAACCCAAGAAACCCAGGGCACCCCAGGGGGCAACCAGGGTGTCTCTTGGCATGGGTCTCCGCTGTAGCCATCACCCCAGACCACCGACGTCATGATTTTTTCATGACGCGGCCCCCAGAGGTCCGGACCCCTTCCATGGGACCGGTTTTTCATCCCGAGTCGTTGTTTGACGGTCCCGAGGCCCGGTAAGGGTCCCCGGGGGCCGAAAATGTAGAAAAACTTCCCGTCGTGATTTTTTCACGACCCGAGGGGGTCTGGGACCCCCCTCTTGGCCGCCCCCGAACCTGCGGGGCGGCACCGCGCTCGGGGCTGGGCCACCGCACCGGGGGCACCGCGCCGGCGGGGGCCGTGCGGCCCGCGCCCCCCGCAGCGTCGCACCCCTGCGGCGCGGAAGCCTCTCGTCGGAGGCCGCCCGCTGCTGCGTAACCGTCGGCACCAACCTCGGCCACGGCGCCCCTGGACCAAGGCTTGGTGCATATACGCACATATATGTATGTACGAATGTACACCCTGCTAAATGCTTTAGAAATCATGGGCTAAGAAATTCATAGTCTCAGAATTTAGTAAAAACCCAGCATGTCAATTCAAATTTTAGGATCTACATTGAAACATTAAGAATTATTCACTGCGTGGGGATCCCCATATGTGCATCTCCTTGCTGGCGTTCCCTTGGTGGTGGGACTCGGTGAGGACGACTCTGGATTTAAGTGTAACTGAGCTGCCTCTCTCTCTGCTCTCTCTGCTCTCTCTGTCTCTCTCTCTCTCTGCCCTCTCTCTGTCTCTGCCTCTCTTTCCCTGCCTCTCTCTCTCTCTGCCTCTCTCTCTGCCTCTGTCTCTCTGCCTCTCTCTCTCTCTCTGCCTCTCTCTCTGTGCCTCTCTCTCTCTGCCTCTATCTCTGCCTCTCTCTCTCTCTCTCTCTCTCTCTCTCTTCTCTCTATTCTCTCTCTGCTCTCTCCTCTCTCTCTCACTCTCCCTCTCTCTCTCTCTCGCTCTCTCTCTTCTCTTCTCTTCTCTTCTCTCTCTCTCTATCTCTCTCTCTCTCTCTCTCTATCTCTCTCTCTCTCTCTCTTCTCTCTCTCTCTCTCTTCGCTCTCTCGCTCTCTCTTGCTCTCTCTCGCTCTCTGTCGCTCTCTCTCGCTCTCTCTCTCTCTCTCTCGCTCTCACTCGCTCTCTCTCGCTCTCTCTCGCTCTCCCTCGCTCTCTCCCGCTCTCTCTCTCTCTCTCTCTCTCTCTGCTCTCTCTCTCTCTCTCTCTCTCGTCTCTCGCTCTCTCTCTCTCTCTCTCTCTCTCTCTCTCTCTCTCTCTCTCTCTCTCTCTCTCTCTCTCTCTCTCTCTCTCTCTCTCTCTCTCTCTCTCTCTCTCTCTCTCTCTCTCTCTCTCTCTCTCTCTCTCTCTCTCTTCTCTCTCTCTCTCTCTCTCTCTCTCTCTCTCTCTCTCTCTCTCTCTCTCTCTCTTCTCTCTCTCTCTCTCTCTCTCTCTCTCTCTCTCTTCTCTCTTCTCTCTCTCTCTCGCCTGTCTCCTCTCTCAACTCCCCCTCTCTCTCTCTCTCTCTCTCTCTCCGCTCTCTCTCTCTCTCTCTCTCTCTCTCTCTCTCCCTCTCTCTCGCTTCCTCTCTCTCTCTCTCTCTCTCTGCTCTCTCTCTCTCTCTCTCTCTCTCTCGTCACGGGCTCGTGAGATCAGCCAGGGTGGCTCCCCCTTGGGGCTCCCAAATGATGCCCCTGGCAGCGTTTTGTGACCATGAGGCTCTCAAGAGATACATGTTGGGGAGGCCAAACGGCAATTCTAGCTGAGGCGTCCCACCAAAATCGGCGCGAACGGGCTCGTGAGATCAGCCAGGGTGGCTCCCCCTTGGGGCTCCCAAATGATGCCCCTGGCAGCGTTTTGTGACCATGAGGCTCTCAAGAGATACATGTTGGGGGCGCCAAACGGCAATTCTAGCTGAGACGTCCCACCAAAATCGGCGCGAACGGGCTCGTGAGATCAGCCAGGGTGGCTCCCCCTTGGGGCTCCCAAATGATGCCCCTGGCAGCGTTTTGTGACCATGAGGCTCTCAAGAGATACATGTTGGGGGCGCCAAACGGCAATTCTAGCTGAGACGTCCCACCAAAATCGGCGCGAACGGGCTCGTGAGATCAGCCAGGGTGGCTCCCCCTTGGGGCTCCCAAATGATGCCCCTGGCAGCGTTTTGCGACCATGAGGCTCTCAAGAGATACATGTTGGGGGCGCCAAACGGCAATTCTAGCTGAGACGTCCCACCAAAATCGGCGCGAACGGGCTCGTGAGATCAGCCAGGGTGGCTCCCCCTTGGGGCTCCCAAATGATGCCCCTGGCAGCGTTTTGTGACCATGAGGCTCTCAAGAGATACATGTTGGGGGCGCCAAACGGCAATTCTAGCTGAGACGTCCCACCAAAATCGGCGCGAACGGGCTCGTGAGATCAGCCAGGGTGGCTCCCCCTTGGGGCTCCCAAGTGATGCCCCTGGCAGCGTTTTGTGATCATCAGAGAGTGCGAGTGTGAGCTTAACTTATCTTATCTTATCTTGAAATCTCTTATTATCATATCCTGTGCTATCTTATCTTATCTTGTAGTATCTTATCTTGTCTTGTCTTATCTGGTGATTATTATTGGGAGGAGGGAGGCGCGAGCGGGAGGAAGAAGGAGGAGGAGGAGTGGGAGGCGTCAGAGTAATAACAAGAACCCCAATCCTTAGGATATGGGGAATAATCGAGACACTGGCCGAAAACTTGGGTTTTCTTAAGCATCGCCTAGAGTGTACGGCGGGTTCGTGTCGTGGCGACCCCGGCGTGAATCCCACCGTGCCCTCTGGGCGCAGGTGGTTCAGGGAGTTCCCTCTTCTACCCTACCTGTTTTCCCTTCGGGGAGGGGTCTACCCCATCCCCCATCCACCCAGACCCCCTCTCTTGGACCCGGGCGGGCAATGCCGCGACCCATTGGAGCGTCCAAAACAGCCTCGGTGAGGAAACTGAACAATCATTGGTTTACCCAGGTTTACGCACCATTTAAGCCTCTTCGGGGGGCAACGCTCATTGGAGCTCCCTTCTTGTTTGATCGATGGCCTCCAAGATGGCCCGAAGAGCGCCCCTAAAGCTCCCAAGCGCGCCCCAAGAGAGCCCCAAGAGGCGCCCAGACGGCCCCAAGAGGCTGCCAAAAGGCTCCCAAAAGACCCCCAGGGGGCCCCCAAAGGCTTCAAAATGATCCCCGAGGCACCCAAGATGCCCCCCAGACGCTCCAAATGGCCCCCCCCGTGGCACCCAAGACGCCCGAAAACCCCCGGGACCGCCAAGAGACCCCCGAGACGACCCAAGAGGCCAACAAGAAGCGCCCAAACGATATCCCAAAAAACCCGTTTTTCTTTCTAGCTCATGGGGACCAGGTCCGAAGGAGAGCACTGGCGACGCAGAATCAAAGCGAAATGCGAAGCACTCTTAGCGGCCCACGGGGTTGTTCCCTGAGGAGGCTTAACCTACGAAGCCGACGTATACTGCGAAAAGATACGATCCACACTCGGCCAGATGCCGCACGGACCCTGTCAGCACAAGCCCGATGCACGCAGCGCCCCGAAGGCTCGGCTAGGCTTACCCAAAAAGCCCAGAAAAAATAGGACTTCTGGCCCTTGTGCTCGCCCTCTTCTTCCTGCCCCTCCTTCCTTTTACTCCTTGTCTTCTTCCTCCTCCTCCTCCTCCTCCTCCTCCTCCTCCCTCCTCCTCCTCCTCATCCTCATTCTCCCCCTCCTCCTCATCAGTATCAGATTCATACTTCTTCCCCCCACCCCTCATCCATCTATCCAACCTCCTTCTTTTCCTTCTCCCCCCTTCGCGCGGTTCGGCCGTCCACCTCTTTGCTCCCGCACTTCCTTGATCACCTCAACTCGCCTGGACATCGTTCATGGATGGGCTGGCGGGGATTTCCGGGCCCGCAGGATCGCAAAGCAAGTCGAAAGCCGGGCAATGCCAGGGCGGGCCGCGCCGAAGCAAAGGAAAACGCAGCGATGAGGGCATCGCCCAGCTCAGAAGCGGGCCCAGCGTAGCCGAGATGGCGCGGGAACTAGCAAACCAGCACCGAGATCGCGCCCATTGGAGTGCCAGTGGACGCGGATGTAGGCGCAGCGCAGGAGAGCGACCCCACCCAAAGGAGGTCAGAGACACGGCCCCAGGACGTCCACGCCGAAGAAGGTGTCCGAGGCGGCCGCGAGTACCTTGCACACAACGGCGACAAAAAGGCGGGATAACCTGGCGTCCACAAGCCTGCGCCCCAGGTACCTTGCCGACCACGAAGTCCTTGGACCAGAAAGCCTTCACGACGTAGAACGAACACGCGAGCCAGGGGGGGCAGCGTGGACGACCCCGAGAGACGAGCGTGGTCACCGCGGGAGTACCGTCGAGCGAGCGCCGGAGAGGTAAACGGTCTCCAGGTCCCCAGGTAGTAGGACGCGTAGTCGGGCAGCGACGGCGCGGAGAGGACCTGCGCGGCGAGGAAAAAGCGGAAGTCGGTCGGGCTAAGGCCGCTCCGCGCCCTCCAACGAGCAGGTCAGAGGCCCCCGAGGGGCAAGCGCAGACTCGGAGAGAGAAGCCGCGAGCAGCGGGACCAGCCATCAGGGCGCCCCTTGCGCCGAGGCCCGGAGGCAGCTGCAATGGCCGGCACGGCGGCGCCGTGATAGAAGGCGCCCCAGAGCGACCGCGATCATGCGGCGCCAGGAAGACGAGCACAGCGCCGCCGCATCGGGCACCCCGCGCGGGGGCGCGGCGGACTGCCGGCAGCCCAGCAGCCAGCAGCCCGCAATGAGAAGCCCGCGCCGAGGTCCTGAGCCGAGGCCGCCGCCGAACCCGAGCTTCACCGGGGAAACCATGCCGGCGAACGCCGACGCCTTCAGCAAGAAGGGGGTGGAACCCTGACTGACAAGCAGCGCGCCCTTGCCGAACACCATCGCCGCGCATCCTTGCGGCCGTCGCGCCGACGAGGCACAGAGAGAGAGCGCCGCCACCGCGCGCGAGGCTGCAGCGCGCCAGCCGCCCGCGACCTAGACCCGGCAGCCGCTGCGGCAGTTCGCCAGGCGCCGCCAGCCAGGAGGGCGACCCAGCGTGCATCGCCATGCGCAGGGGCGCGCTGGCGGCCGCCGCCCGCGCGCAGCAGGTGCCCTGAGCGGCAGCGGGGCGGGCGCCAGCGGCCCCGGCCGCAGGGGGCCCGCAATGTTTGGCGCCAGCCAAAGTCGGAGTGCCAGCGCGAGGCAGAACCTCGAGAGCTACCAGCCAGTAGCCCCAGGAGTAGGCGAGATTGGGGGGGGCGGCGGCTCATCGTCGCAAGCGCGGGAAACGTGGAGCGATGAGGGGCGGCAGCTGCTCGCTGCAAATGCAATGGGATAGCGAGAGGACGCGATTGCGAACGCCAGGAGCAGCAGATCGCTGCAGAAGCATGGGCGGTGGAACAGCTAACATGGATAACCCCAGGATGCGAGGACAGGAGAAGAGGAGCAGCTGAACGTGGCAGATCCAGAAGGCGCGGCAGCTGATCGCTGCAAGCGCACGAGAGGAAGAAAGAGGCGGCGGGGGCGAACCTTATGAGCATGGACCGCTACAAGAGCGCAGGCAGTGTAAACGACGACCGCGGGAGACCCCAGGACACAAGGCCAGGAGAGGAAGTGGGGCACCAGGCCACAGGGGATGCGCGTTGCGAAGGAGAGGAGAAGAGGAAAGGCCAGCACCACTTATAGGCCAGTCCTGCCACGTGCTGGGTTACGTCGAAAGGGTAGCCGGAGGGCAGGACCTACTGCCGGTGCCCCTTTCTGGCAGGCGGCCGTCCCAGTCGGAGCTGCGCTTGCCCTGCCCGCCGCTACCCGCGTCGGAGGTGTCGCGGTCATGGCCCTTACCTTGTCGCCTGGCATCGCCTCGATCCATTATCATGTGCTCTCGTCGCGCCTGCGAAAGATTTGCATTGAGCCCCGGGTGGTGATTGAGTTCGTGGGCGTCGCACCTGCAGAGGCCCCATGCGCCCGGGAATGTTTCGCAGTTGCGCCAGCTGTTCCAGTGGGCTCGTATGAGCGAATCCAAGGCAAGTTTCGCGGTGCTCCGCCCAACGGTGCCGGACCTCATCTAAACCGGCACCGAAATCAGCCTGCATCCTCCTGAAGAGGTGGCGTCGTCCTCGTGCTTGCCTTGCGCTTCCACCGGGTGCGCGGGCGTCTTGTACATGTGGCGATCGCGCCATTCACCGTGATTCCACCTCCCGCCGGCGTGGCTGCTTTGTGACTGGCTCGACCAGGTGAACCCGCGCGCCTGTGTGTTGTCGCGCGCGTTCCAGCTGGAGCTGTGGTCCGCCCGTCCAATGCTTGCGGGACTATAAGTGCGTGGCCCGCTTCCTTGGTCCTGCTCGCAAAAGCTCTGTGACGGACGGGCGCGTCCCTTGCCATAACCCACTGCTGGAGCCCAGGCTGGCCGCCTCTGTCGCGACCCCACTGCCTGTTGCGGTCTTCAGGAGTCTGGGGCTGCCAACGCTTTCAGCGTGTCGGCACAGTCACGATGCCGCTGGCTCTGTCAGAAGCGCTGGTTGTGACCGACTCACCTTGCGTCACGGCGTCGCCCGTGAGCACCGACGGGTCGAGGCTTGCGAACCAGTCAACGAGTGTCGATGCGATGGTGCGCAGGGTCGGAGTCCTTGTGAAGTGCGTCCCTTTTGGCGTATTGCCCCCGGGAGTGTTTCGACAACTGTTGCTTGACGGGGCGACGCGCCAGGCAGGCTGCGGCCCAACGCTTGCCGCTCCAGGTGGTACCGGGTGTTACTCCGTCATTGGTGATGGTGTCGTCAAAAAGCGTGCGGAGGCAGGCACAGGCGAGCTCGTGTACTCAGGCGTCCTCGTTCTGATCTTCCGGTTTGGGGCCCTTTTTGCTACACCAGGTGATTCAGGTTTCGTCAGCGGTTGGATCGAAGCGACGGATATGCCTGGCCAATTGCAAGGGGGACGTCGTCGTCACATATGTGCAATCGTCTTTTGCAGCTTGTATGAAGGCCTCGAGCTGTTTATACTCGTACTCTGGGCCCCTCTAATTATCGGCGACGGCTGGGCGCTTGGGGGCCGAGGCCTTCCCCCCCCCCCGCGCTCCAGCGCTGCCCTCTTGGGTTTCGGGCTTCGGGTCGTGACTCGGCTCTCCGCCGGCCGCTCGGGACCGCCTGGACACCTCCAGGACGCTCACGAGGAGGAGGAGAAGGAGGGGGAGGAGGAGGAGGAGGAGGAGGAGGAGGAGGAGGAGGAGTGAAACAGTGCAGGATATCGGGGGTGGACGTGAAGCGGGTGATGTCTGTGCCTTCGGGCGCGCTGGCGCCGGGCTGAACCATGTCCCCAGGTCGGTTTTCGTCCTGATCCACCCTTGCTGCAACGCGGGCCCAGCCTATAGTTCTCCCCGCATATCGTCGTCCTTGGGTTTAGGCCTCGCCAGCCTGTTCATCGGGATGGGGGGATACATGCAGATTGCATTTCTGTCAAGGATGATATTAAAGACGCTAGGCGAGATGTCTCAGATGTGAACCAGGCAGTTGCGGCAGTGCCAGGACGCGTCAAACCCAGACGACCAGCATTCCGCCGAGTGGTCCCACTCGGGAAGGCCGCATCTGTCATCGCATCCTTGGCCAGACCTGGGCCTCCAGACGAAGGAGCCAAAAGCTGGGTGGCCAGGCTCCCACGCCAACCTTACAGGATCGCCGACGCAACTGTCGCAGATGGCGGAATACCGCCCAGAATCCGTGGCGTTGGTACCGAACCGATCGTCAATGGGTCGGCAGGTTGGAATGGCACTGCTTATCTGCGCTGGATCGTTGTTTTTTGAAGTTTCCAAGAGCAGCTGGGCCACCAAGTGCTCCCTGCATGGGTTAGGCACCTGGGCCTGCGCACCCGGCCTTGGGTGGGTATACAATTTAGTCGCGAACGCAAGCTGTACAGCAGCGCGCCGTCAGAGCGAAGTAACAACGCAACGGCCTATACTACGCACTAAGCACACAAGGGCGATCTACGCTGCGGCTGAGACAGCGCGGAAGACCAGGAAAGGTTCCTGGTCGACGTGCAGCGCCAAAATGGCGATGAGCAAGAAACCGGCGAACTCGAAGACCGCCATGACGCAGCTGGAGAGGACGACGAACGGGCGTGCAGACGCTCAACGGAAGAGTTCCGGATCGCCAGGAGTGGGGGCGTGCCAGCGGCGGAAGCGCCACCACGGCGGGGGAGCAGGAGAAGCATCGCCAGGGCAACGCAGGGGCAGACTCTGGTGGGGATAATTACGCGAGGCGTCTAGAACTCATGACACGGCGTGGATCGTTCAACCTCGGGCGATCGGCCGTTGGCGAAACGTCAGCTCGTTCAACATCGACCGATTCTGGGTCGCTGGCTGCGTTCCACGTTGAACGCCGGAGGCGGGGTCGCCGCCAGTCGACACGACGCGAACCTACCGTATATGTGTGCGCGCCCTCCTGGCCAAGACGCACCAGGGGGGCGCATATGCATCCATCCGGGGCCCAGGCCGGGCCCGGCCAGGGCCAGCGCCGGCGCAGCAGCCGGCGCCCTCCCGCCTCGCTGGGCCACCCGCGGCTCAGGCAGTGGCAGGCCGCCGCCAGGCCGCACGCAAGGATCCCCAGGAACCTCAGCTGCCTCGATGCGCCCGTTTTGTGATACGCAACACGTGCCGCGCTCAGAGCGTCCGTGTCAATACGTTGCGTGTTGGCTCCACGTATTGGACCACGTTGTGGCGAATGTATCGCGTCGGACCTACGTTTTCAGCATACGTGCCCAGACTCCCGACGTCATGACTTTTTCATGACGCGACCCCCAGAGGTCCGGACCCATTCCCCAGGACCGGTTTTTCATCCCCAGTCGTTTTTTGACGGTCCCGAGGCCCGGTAAAGGCCCCCAGGGGCCGATAATCGTGAAAAACCTCCGTCGTGATTTTTTCACGACCCGAGGGGGTCTGGGTATTGGACCACGTTGTGGCGAATGTATCGCGTCGGACCTACGTTTCCAGCCTGCGTGTTGAGCTCCGCATTAATACGATACGTGCTGCGTGCTGCGCATCGGGGCAGCTAATAAGCCCGGAGCCCCGCGGCCAGCGGCGCGCCGACGCCCGGCGCGCGCAGCTGCAGCAGCCCCGCGCGCGCGCCGCCGCACGTGCCGCGGTCCAGCAGCGCGCTGGCCCCGCGGGGGGCCCCTGGGCCGCCCCAGGCCTCGGGAGGAAGATCGCGCCCGGCGAAAGGGGGGGATAGCAAAGGGAGGGTTTGAGAATCAGCTCACGTAGCTGGTTTTCCCGGCGCCTCCCGGCGCCGGAAGCGCCCATGTATCGAGGAATGGGCCCCTCGGTGGGGCCGAAACCAGCTGCATGCAGCAGATTTCGTAACCCCGCTTTCCCAATCCCCCCCTTTCGTCCGGCCCGAGAAGAGAAGGCTGCATAGACTCAGATCGGGCGTGTCCCTCTATACAGGGCGGATCTTGGGCGAAAAACTGAAAATAGTCAAACAATACTCCCAAAGATTCCAAACAATAGTAAGAAAATAGTCCCCAGACTACTTTTTGACTATTTTTGGATGTTCCCCCTGTAGAGGGACAGGCCTGACTTCAGCATAGACATGACCTTCAACCAGCCTCGAGCTTGTCCCCATCCCTAGCGAGGGCCAGCCAAGATAAGGCAGTGGCAATCTCGAGAGCGCGCCCTCAGAAGCTGCGGGGATCCTGAAGGTTGGCATCGAGATGAGGCTAGGGGAACAAAAAGGGACATAAACAAAAAAAATCGGATGCCCGCGCGGATTTCTCGGATCGGCGCTGGACCCCCTCCCTGGCGCGCTGAGCGCGCCAGGGGCGGGGCGCCGGCGGCGCCGCCGGGGGGCCCCAGCGCCGATCCGAGAAATCCGCGCAGACCTCCGAGTTTTTATGCTTATGTCACTAGCTTTTTGTTCCCCATAGAGGCGATGCCAATCACAGGGATAGGGCACGTTCCAGGTTGGCGCAGCTTCCGGAGCTCCGCGGGGATGTCTGGGCTATGCGCTGGGCTGGGCCCCCCTCCCTGGCGCGCTCCGCGCGCCAGGGGCGGCGCCGGAGGCGCCGACCGCGTGCCCCAGCGCAGATCCCAGCGACCCGCGCGGAACTCCGGAAGTTGACCATGATGCCGGCGTCGTTTTTTCCTCCTCGAGACCTGCAGCAGCAGCGTGTGCAAGACGCTGCGCTCGCACAGGTGCCCGCCAGGGCGGGCGTCGGAGTGCACCTCGGAGTTTTCCTCCTGCGGCGCCTGCTCGCTGCGCGTGTCGGCGTCGGCACCCTGCCTCTGGGGGCAGAAACGCACCGATGCCTACCGCTGTTCCCCGGGCCTCTCCTTGGGTGCGATCTGACCAGAACTTCCAGGAGAGTCCAGCCGTGGCGACGAGGGCCTCCGAGGAGGCCCAAAGCAACTAACAACGACGCGAGGGCAGCACCCCATGCCCTCGGACCCTCGGCGTCGCGATTTTGTTCGCAACGTGCATCCCCAGATCTCTAAACCAATTCCCTGGGACCAGCTTCTCATCCTGAGCGTTCTTGTTGACGGCCCAGTGAGGGCCACCAAAGCACGAACATGGCAGCAAATTTCCATCTGGATTGTTTCACGACGTTGGAGGCTTAGATACGGATCCGCTTTTCATTATTCGCGATGACGCCAGCTACCGGTCCCGGCCCCCTCCTCCCCTCCCCCTCCGCTCACGCCCGTCATCGCCAGGGGATACATAAACAATCTCGATCTGAGCCTCCTCTGAGCCTCTAAAACAGAGCTAGGATCGGGATAAATCGCTCCAGAGCGTTCCGGAGCGCTCTCAGAGCGTTCCGGAACGCTCTGGAGCGGCCGCGGCGCCCAATACATCCTCCAAACCCGCCGATTCTCAGAGATTTCGACTCATCCCGATCCGATGTTGTCCCGCTCTTCGCGTCGTTTTAGAGCCTCCTCTGAGCCTCCCCACGTGGCTTTCCGGCCATAGCTCGGGCCTCTGGCGGCCGCTCGGCACGATACGGGCACCTCCAGAAAACGCCCTCGGCGAGGCGCCGCTGCCGGAGAGAGCCTCCCGAGGCCGGAGAACCACGGAGCGCCGACGAGCACGCCCAAAAACCTCTCGGACCTCAACCCGTCATAATTGAAGGTGCCCAAGGACACACAAATGAATACACGCAAATACAAGGATTCCCCATATTTTCTTATATTTTCTGAGTTTCTGTCCCCCCCCCCACTTCCCATATTTTCTTATATTTTCTAGGGAAATCGACGATTAATTGTGTCTGTGTGTTTTTTCCCTCCTGACTCAACCCGTCGTACTCACCCCCTGAGCCTCAGCTCAGGCGCGCCCTGGCCAACGCGCCCCCACCGCGCGTCGTGCTGCAGCAGGCTCACGGCCGGCTGGCGCGGGCACCGCCCGGCCTCGGCGGCCTCGGCGGCGCCGTGCCGCTGCGGCAGCGCCGCCGGGCGGTGCCTCGGCCCCGCACCGGTGGACCCCGCGCCCGCTGCGAGGCGGCAGCCCGGCGAGAGGAGCCTGAGCATCGTGGAGCTGATCCCTTCGCTGAGGGGCATCCGATATGGGGAGCCACGCAGTGGAGCCCAGACTCGAATCGACACGTCGGATCGGCGATCGAAGCGACTCGGATCGGCGGAAATCGGCGGCCGAGTCGGGAGACGTCGAATCGGCGAAAATCGGCGTGGCTTGTAGGCCTCCGCTGAGAAATCGGCATCCGAATCGGAATCCGAAGTCGAATCGAATCGGAATATGAAGCCATCAAGATCGAATCGAATCGAATCAGAGAAGTGGAAACGAGCCATGACCATGGGATACATAATCCAGGGTCTGGAAGCCGGTGGAGCTCCAGTCGTGGATTGGCCATGGGTATCACCGCCGCCCTCATAAGAGAAGGGACCCCCCAGTGTCTGACGCCTCCTGGGCACCTTCCATAACGAACGCCCCCACCATATTCTCTCTTGCGTAGTCTTGGGCCCCACTGGCCGACTGTACCCCTCCCTACGAGGGGATACATGCCTAGTCCCTTGGGGCTTCGCGGAGCCTCTCCCGACCTGGGCGGGTGGGCTAGTGGGGCTGACGTAGCGTGGCCCAGTGGGGATTGGGATAGGCTAGGCGATGTTGAGAGCCATGGCGCTGCTCTTCTTGGAGAGCCCTCGTCGCCTCGTCGCCATGGCTGGATCCTCCTCGACATTTACGTCCGAATGCACACCAGGCGAGGTCCGGGGAGCAGCGGTATCGGTACCTTTTCTGCCCCCCGCAGAGCCAGAGCGCCAAGAGGACCGCCGGGCCGGGTCCGGCGGCGCCAGTGTGGCCCATGCCTGGGACGAAGGTTCGAAATCCTCCTCCTCCTCCTCCTCCTCCTCCTCCTCCTCCTCCTCCTCCTCCTCCTCCCCCTCCCCTCCCCCTCCCAAGCCGTTCTGGCACAAGTTTTGTGCTTGCTGTCACTGACGATTCAGAACGGCTGGGTGACAGCGAGTCATTCTGGCTCTCGTTTCCTCCAGCCACGTCCTGCCACTTCCAGCAGCCGCAATGGTGCCGCCGCCGAAGGCCCAGCCTTGGGAGGAGCGCCCGTTTGCTAAGCGAGTTCGTTTCGCCGCAGGAGGCGACGGAGCGGACCCTCAGTATCGCGGGGGCGGTCGCCAGGCGCTGTGGAAGTGCAGCTACGAGGATTGTGGATGTGGAAAAATCTTGTCAAGTGGTGGTTTTGTAAGCACTGCAAGCGTGAACGTGTCGAGGTGCCTGTGCGCGAAGTACCTGCGCCTCGTGGGAGCTGGCAGCGGGGCCCAACGCACTTGTCGCCAGCCGCCGTCACGGTGCCCGACACAGCGACTGAAGACGATGTCAAGCAGTTGCTCGCTCTGGCTGAGAAGTTCGGTGATTCAGTTGCAGCTTCTCAATACAAGGTGTGGCTTGCAGCTAAGAAGCCCAAGGAGACCCCACCAAAGCCCCTGGAAAAGCAAGCAGAAGAGGCGCGCCAGCGTTTTCATTCGCTCGAGCGCCGCCTCAAAAAGGAGATCGACGATGTCGCCAGGGCTAAGAAGTGGTTGTACGAATGCGAAGAAGCTATGGCCAAGCTCACGGACGAGCTGTCCACGGCCGACAAGGAGCATAAAGCCTTGGTCGAGCGGCTTCATCATGTGGTGCACCCTGATCCTCCTCAGTCTGGTGGTAAGCTCTGCCTTCGTGACATCCTCGACGGCAAGGAAGGGGCCCTCACCATTGACTACGGAGAAGGCATCCTTGGCCTCGACGCCAAGGAGTACGAGTTATCCGCCGACGACCACATCCAGTTCGAGGCCAGGAAGCGCGAGCTGGAGCAGAGTGTGGTCGCCATCACGAAGCAGTTGTTTGAGAAGGTTCAGCAGTCTGTGGACCAGATCAAAGCCTCCCACCGCCAGCGCATGTCCAAGTTACACAGGCGGAAGCCTGAAGAGACTTCCGTCCAGCCCGCCGAGAAGGTCGCAAGTGGCAACAGCCCCGCTGGAGCTCGGCCACCACATGAACTTGGAGATGCAGCAACTGGTGATCAAGAGGACGCCGCCAGCGGGGCCGGAGGTGCAGCCAGCAGCTCTGCAGGCGCCCACGGGGGAGCTCACGAGGCTGATGCGCCACCGCACCAAGATGTTCGACAGCTTGCGCAGGAACTGCTCGCCAACAGGAAGCCGCCTGAGCCGCCTTCCCAAACAACCCCCCCCCGGCGCCTGATGCTCACGCGAGCAGTGTGTCGGGGGGTAACTTCTTACACTTCTCACATGCTATCGCCAGGCTGTGCCGTGTTCCCGCCCCCAAGGCTCCGTCCTTGAATTTTGGCAGGTGTCTCTGGGCCCCAGCTTGCTCGGATCTCGACAGTTTTGAATTGGTCGTGGAGACGGCAAATTGCACTGGGTGGAATGCGGCGAAAGCGTGGTTGAGTCGTACGACGGCTCATGTTGTACTTGCTCAAGAACTTCATCTTCTGGGTGACCAGGTTGGCGAGGCCTCTCAGTGGGGCCTCCGCTCAGGCTGGAAGTCCAGGATCGTCCCAGCGGCCCCAGGTATTGGGCTCGGGACCTCTGGAGGCGTGGGCATCTTCGTCAGGGACTTCTTGGGTTGTCATGACGTCTCGGCTAAGGTGAGCCCCACTCTGGTTCCTCATCGTGCTGCCTCAGCTATTGTTCAGATCCCAGGCGGAGTCTCTATCCTTGTGGTCTCCGCGTATCTCAGGGACTCCGAGGGCCTCTCGGAGTCCAATCTGGGTATTGTGTGCAAGCTTGGTGCTGAATTATCCTCGTTTCTTGGGCCGTTCATCTTGGGCGCGGACTTCCAGATGGAGCCTGACGTTCTGGCTTCATGTGATTTGGTCTCGGTGCTCAGTGCCAACCTGGTCGCGCCTGAATCCAAGGGCACCTGCACGGGCACGAGCAAGGAAGGAGTCCGCATGCTCGACTATTTCCTGGTTTCCAGTGGGCTCTCGCAGGCCGCGAAGGCCACCCGTGTCTGCCTGGAGGCGGCCACCAAGCCGCACAAGCCCGTGCAGTTGAGCTTCTTCCCTCAGCTGGCCAGCTTGCAGGCTTTGGGGTTTGTTAACCCTCCCCCCATCCCGATCGAGCCCCCTATCGGCCCTGCCCCTGCCCCTCAGGATTGGAAGGATGTCTTAGACTGTGCGTCTTATGGTTTGGGGTTGGTTCGCAATCGTGTCCCCAGACAGTGCTTGCAGCGTCATCTCAATATGTTGTATAAGCTTTGGGCAGACACGGCTGAGAGAGAGTTGGTCGCTGATCGCCAGTGTTCACTTCCTGTTTTAGGCACCCGTGGCAGGTTGCCCAAGCTTGCATGGCGCTCTGTTCTGGATAAGGATAGGCGCACTTCTCGTCAGCCTGAATTGTACGGAGTTCGATGTCTGGAGAGCACCTTGCGCATTTTCTGCTCGAACCTCGGCTGCGACGTGAAGGGCTCGGCCCTCGACTCTGGCAACTTCCTCCTTCACCCCCCCGACATCATTGCCGACAGCATGGGGGTCTGCCAGGGCAGCTGGGATAAGGTACAACATGTCGTTCAACGGTGTATGAGGTCTAATCCTCCGTCCTGCCGTGGGAAAAGCAACCCTTTCAACTCGATCAAGGGCGACGGTTCAACTGGTTGTATTCCTAGCGATGATCCTCTTGGGGCCGAAGCTTTAGAAGGTTTGATTGATGATGGTGCTAGCATCCTGGACGAGGTTTCGGAGTTCCTGGGTGAATTTTCCATCAAGCAGCGCGATGTGGCGAACAAGTCTTGGAAGTCTTGGATCCTGGAAGGTGTCTCGAAAGGAGCCCGAAGAGCCCATTGGTGGACCAAGGAAGTCGCCCCCTGGACCCCATGTTCTACTCTTTCGGCTAAGGGCGTTGTCTTATCTGATCCCCAAGCTCTTCTTCATTCGGAGGCTGCTCGGTTCAGTGGGTTATGGAAGGCCGCGTCGGAGCCCCCCAAGCAAGAGCCCATCGAGCACCAGGATCCGCTCCCCTTCGAGTCGCCAGACTTGTTGAGAGAAGTTGCCAAGTCGTACCCCACTCGCACGGCCACCAGTGTCGACGGCTTCCATATGCGCCACTATGCTTCTCTCTGTGATGACGCGCTGGTGGCATTAATGAGTATTATCAGCATCATGGAAGCGTCCTCCCTATTGCCCAACCACCTGCGTGCCATCATGGTTGCGCTTCTGCCCAAGCCTGCTGGAGGTTGGAGACCCATCGGATTATTTAGCTCAGCATATCGGTTATGGGGCAGGATGAGGAGACCATACGCAGTCCAATTGGAGGCCAGGTTCAATAACTCATATCTCAGTGCGGGAGCTTTCACTGGGGGGGGGGGATTGTTGGGAGGCAAGCAGCGCGTTCGGAACATGCGACTAGCAGGAAGGGAAAGAAGGGAGTTGCGTGCACTGTGTTATGGGATCTCCACAAGTTTTACGAGGCTATTAGGCTCGACGTTCTACAGCGGAGATGTGACGACTTAGGATTCCCTCCTCCTATTTCACGTCTCTGCATGGCGGCCTATAGAGGCCCAAGGTTCATCAACATCAGCGGGATCGTGAAGGGCCCTTTCTTCGCCTGGCAAGGAGCTATTGCGGGAGATTCCTTTGCCACTACTTTCGTGAGGGTCTACGCCATTCCCACGATTGACCTGCTGCCGCAGCAAGTCCGCGATGCCCTCGATATCTACATCGATGATTACGGATTGCAAGCGACGGGGACCACTCAACTGTACTCGGTATTGTCGGACGATATGCAGGTGGTTGTTCCAGAAGACAAGGCGTCTGTGATCTGCTCTGATCAGGCTGTCGGCAACAAGATCAGGTCGCTGTTGGAGCATGTGGGAGGACCCTCATGTATTTCTTCTGCTGTGAATCTAGGTGTTGATGACACCGCTGGTCGGCCCCGACGGCAAGCTGGGCGCGGCCGCAAGTTCGCTGGTAGGTGCAAAGTTCTCAAGCAGAGGGTCGCCCGTCTCAAGAGGTTGAGAGGCATCCTGGGGCAGCGTTACAGCAGGAAAGTTTTCACGTCGGGGC